GAGGAGTCGGCACTGCTCAAGCGTAGAGGCGGCGAACTGCGCGTCTGCTTCCGTCGAGGGTGCCTCGTGCCGCCTCTCGGCCGTCACACGGTCGATGTAGTCAATCACGCCGCGATTCTCCTCTGACACGAGCCACTCGGTGTCCCAGTCAACACGAACGCCCTCGGCATTCGTCGAAGGCCGGGATGCCGTCTCCAGGATGAATTCGGCGACATTGCGGCTCGGTGGGCAGGGAAACCCGCGGCGGGCAAAGTAGTCGATCACAACAGACCCGTTTTCGCCCACAGGACCAAAGTAGAACGTGTTGCCACCGCGGTTGAGCGCGAGGATCATGTCAAACTGCTCGATGAGGTCAGACGACGGCTGGTGGATGGTGCAGATGATAGCCTGACCAGCGTCGGCCAGGCGGCGTAGGAAGCGGACGATGGAAAAGGCAGACTGGCTGTCGAGGCCGCTCGTGGGCTCATCGAGGAACAGCAGGAGACTGGGACGGGCGGCGAGCTCGACGCCAATGGTCACGCGCTTGCGCTGCTCGACAGTCAGGGACGAGATGAGCGCGTGCGAGAGGCTGTCGAGCTCGAGCAGCCGCACAATGCGATCGACATAGGCAAGCTTCTCGGCCTTGGGAATGTGCTTCTCCTGTCGCAGCAGCGCCGAAAAGTCGAGCGCCTCGCGGACCGTCGAAGACCCCTCGTGAATGTCGCGCTGCTCGCAGAATCCGGTGCCGCGCTTAAAGGCAGCGCCCGGGACGACGCCGTTGACGAGAATGTCACTTGACACGACTCCAATGCGCTGGCGCTGTGCGAGCGTGTTGAGGAGCGTCGTCTTGCCGGCGCCGGACGATCCCATGAGGGCCACCATCTTTCCAGGCGCCGCGTATCCGTTGACGCCGTTGAGAAGCCGGCGGTGGCCGGTGCCGTAGGGGACCGTGTACCGAATGTCCTTAAATGTGAAGACGCTCGTGCCATCGCCAATCTTGTCGAGGGTCTCATCCGCCTTTTGCTGCTCGGCCGATGTCTCTTCCTTGCTCTCGGATGGCTTGGCAAAGACGAGCGAGTGCGCGCCTGAAGCCGGTGAAAGCGGACCTTTTTCGACAGCCCAGACGTTGACGAGGAGGAAGAAGACGGTGAAAGCGAGCCATGATGCCAAAGTTTGCCGCCCACCAAATTTGGAACGGGAGCTGATCTATTTAGTTTCTTACCCCTGATCTATTAGTTTCTGACGTGCTGGGGTTGAGAGGGGGTGAACCAAGCCGGTACTCCACAAAGTCAAAGGACGTCTGAAGGTAGGCCTCGCCAGACACGGTCGAACTGCCAAAGGTCGACCCCGGGCAGGGTGCATCCCTGGTAGTCGGCGTCGGCGCCAGGCCCCCTCGGCACGAGGTTGCTCTCGCTGCACCGCAGCTCACGGCCACCAAACTCGTTACCCAGCAGGGCCTCGTAGCCGTAGGCCACAGGGTTGACGTACGAGAACCAGCCGAACCAGGGCGAGTCGCTCATGAGGGTCGATCGGGGGATGACATAACCCGTGAGGATAAACATGATGTTGAGGACTGCACATTAGTACCCGAACACCACACACAAAAGAGGCAAAGGGGCGCAACTCACAAACACTGACAAAGCGAATGGCATCATCAACCGTCGACGAGAGAGCGGCAAACATGCGGTACATGGTGGTCAGGCACAGCGTCGCCACATAGACGAGCAGCATGTAAATGAAGAACTTGCCCGCCTCGACGTCAAACTTGGCCAGGAAGTAAAACGGCAGGCTGAAGACGACGACCATGACGAAGATGAGCGGCAGATCGAGCACGGCGCGCGCCAGCACGACAGCTGACGGCCTGTACAGCGCAAACTGCCTCTGCCTCTCAATGGTGGCGCGGCCCATGATGGCGGGCGCCAGCACGGCAAACTCGAGCCAGCCGATGAAGGCGACGGAGAAAGAACATGGCGCTCGACATGGAGAACGCCGCCGACGTGGCGCCGGACTCGCTCTCGTAAAAGAGCGACCCGACGATGAGGGCGTTGACGACAATGATGGCGAGCTTGGTGTAGAAGGTGCCGAGGTCGCCCCAGAAGAGCCACGCCTGCCGGCGCGTCGCGGCGGCGATCTGGCGCGGCACCGACACGGTGTAAGGGGACTCGTCCTTGACGTGCTTGCTCTTGGCGCCCTGGACGGCGTCCTCGAACCTCTTGTGCTTCTCGTCGGGGGTCCGACGCGGCGCGGTGCTCGCGGTCGTAGAGGTCGACGTCTTCGAGGAGGCGCTGGTAGTGCTCGCTCGCGCGGAACGCGGCCTCGAGCGCCTCGGGGGTCTTGGGCCGCTGGGGCCCCGGGGCCCTCGGGGCCCTCTCCTGAAAGTGCCGAGCGTT